GGATACTTTTTGTTGTCATCAAATATTTCAACACGTGTCAAAAATGTATTATTTCTTTAACATTGTATTCTATGGAATTGTAATAAAATAGCTTTTTTGAAAAATATTAGGACAAGTTTCTCAAAAACGTAACTTTATCATACAAAATAATGCTATTTTATTGTGTCATCAGCTTTATAATTTTACATTATAAACCAATGAACATTATCATGCAATTTATGACCAACTTTCTAAAAAAATATATCACAAAACCCAGAATATCAGCACGTGTTCTACCAATAGAAAGACTGAGGCATTTAGGAATATCCCCAGATGCAAGGAATTTTATTCATTGTAAAAATGGAGTAATTGGCAATGAAGTACATGCTTTAATAAAATGTAACCATCAAGGCATATCGGAAGCATGTTCACGGTTCTTTCATACGATTTCACTATATGATGTGAGCATTCTGAAATTATTGGCAAAAACAAGACAAATTTGAAAAAAAAAACTAAGGTCAAGTTTAATTGTGAATAGCCTTGCTAAATTTGTAAATGAAATTGTTATATTTTAATTTGTCTGTGTAATGAACATTGTTCATTTGTTTCGTTTTATGTAAGTGACCATGGATGTTATATGACATATATTTCATTTTGTGCCTCTATTCTATTCTATTCTATTCTATTCTATTCTATTCTACAAAGCCCAGCTAGCATTGGGAAAGAGTGGAGCTAGTCAGAAAGGTGACTGTTTCTTCAAAATCACCACAGAGCTGTATTGCATTCGGTTTGTAGGTACCGACGTTTTCGAAAAAGCATGAGTATGGTAAAATCACAAATGTATTGCACTGAACCATTGGAACGCTCGGATGTCACTAGCACTAGTAAATCAGATTCATTATACTGTGTAATATAAATTCTGGTCTGTAGATTGGAATTGTGTCGTTTACATTAATAAGCATATACAAAACGTTTATATACGATTCTGATACCAACTGGATATCGAAAACTTCGGCGAGAAATGTTGAATGTCTCCGTGTCTGGAAACAATAACAATTTTCATAGCAACCATAGAAGCGTGTTTGTACAAAGTTTTTATATGTCCCATCAGTAAGTGACGAGTACCCATAATGCAATATGAACTAATGTTAATTTGCTTAAAAGTAGTCATCGATGTTTGATCTATTCTTGCGCCAAAAAAAAACTGTATCGTTTTGAACAACATCATAACATAAAAGCATTCTGTAAAAGTTAATAAAATGAGTTTATCTGTTTAATAGCAGCCAGCTTGACATATATATCTACGATATCAGTTGCTAGGATTCGTAATATCACATTAACCACCTAAAACATAGCAGTTTATTGGTTGTTTGTCAATTTGATATCCAGTATTGTCGCTTAGCAACCACAAACTACGACCACAGGAATCCAATTAAAACATACAGATACCCGAGGCTCTAAAAAGCTTGCGAGTTTCGGTGAAACATTCTGCATTCCCACTTTGCGATTTGATCACGGATTGTATAAGGGAGTGTACTATTATGTTAATTAGATAGGTATTACAAATACACAACGGAAAGAGATTCTAGTTTGTGGAAACTCTGAAGGCAGACTGCAGATGATCTTAGCACTGATGGTAAGTTTCGTATTTACATTCACTGTTATGTCGATTTAAGCCTGAAAGATTTCGTAATTGTTTTGTTTTTTTATTCACACATTTGTAAACAACAGAGATAGAGAAATTACAATTATTATTATAATAATGTTAAAGTATAAATATTTAATTTATTAAGTTATAACTCCATATAGCTCACATGCTCATGTTTCTATATACTGGATTAACTTACTGAATGTAACTATTTGTTCTCAAAGTCAATTCATCAAGGAATGTTTCCAGTAGGATTGTTTTATTTAAATGTTGTGAAGTATATGAACCGTACCATTTCGTATTCCACATAGCTCACAATTGGTCTACGCACTTTCAATTTATATGAATTGTGACCATTCCCTAAAATATCGTGCAAATTTACGTTCCGTAGCAACCCCTACTGTTATATTGTTGTTACTTACAACTGTTCCATTCATTAACGACCCAGTGTTTATCAAATATGATTTAGTGATCAATAGTTATCTTTAAGTCAGAATCTTATTCGTGGTTTTATTATGACATAGATCAATAATACATAATATTAAGAAGATGTCATACATTCGAATACCATCATCTTCATAGTTACTATAGTTACTGATAATAGTTTTGCGTCTAATTTTGTGGACCTAATAAATATTTTAAGAAAATGTTATCGAAAACCGTTAACGAGACCGCATAGTGCCTATATAATATAATATATATATTTTCGAATGAAAGCATTCTTCACGCCTTTGTGAACATCAATGTACCGATGGATTCAATTGTGTATTTCAGACGTAAAATATCGCCATATGGAGTTGATCAGATTCTTAATTATCCTTACCACAATCCTTAGTTTGTGTACTAAGCCTGGCACTTTGCCAAAATCATGACTTAGTATTATCGGCAACCTTAGATAATCGTAGTTCTTCAGACCAATCACGAGTCTTCATTTAGACTCCGTTTATTCCATTATCGAATCTGTTTTAATTGCTAAAATTTGACTACTAATAGGAAAAACATGGTCGACATTGGACAACTTTGTCGAATGCCGAGTTGCAAATAAAATGGTTGCGATACGTATTCATAATTCAGCAATTTGGCACCACGGTATGAATATAATATTTTGATATAGTTAATAAATTCGTCACGATTGAAATTGATCATTACTTTAAATAAATAAATAATAAAAATATAATCTACAGTGTCGAATCTGTAAAAATGGAATGGCGCCTGCTTTTTTTTTGATTGAATTTAAATGATTACATCGTATACAAATTGATCAATGACAATTTGTCTTCAGATTTGCGGCTTGTGTATTGTTAACCATATTTATCACTGATTGTAACCTCAATGGAGCTGCAAAAACAATAATTTTGTAGAAGACATATGAGTCTCCAATTTGCAAGAAACTCCCGACCCTCTTATTGTGTTTATGAATGAGCACATTGTAAGAATGTCGATTTATCACGTTTTAGTCTATTCGCAATCAATAAAAGAGATGCGTTTATTTAATGCATGCTTTTCATTGTTATTCAAGGAAGATTAATATTATTTAGATATCAATTTCATTGTTGGAACAATTTTCCGATGTGTGTATGAAAATATTTCAAACAAAATTTTAACCCGTTTTAACCGTACTCTAATTTGCACACCATAAGCTTTATCGGCGTAGAGAATGTTTACCTACTTGTAGTCATCAAAGACTTTAGGACCAATGGTCTCATCTATTCTTTTGACGAGAAAATATAGTCTTAATTAAAGACGGGGTAGTAGTTCGCGTTTACTCTGTGTATATGGAACAATCTCGAATACGGGAATTGCATAATACCCAAATCTACGGTTTTTGCATCATATTCATAATTTCGATGATTCCTTCTATATAATTTTGAATTTTCAGTACGTTTATACTAGTATTAAGTTTGCAGACTCTCAAACCGTGAACCGTATCGGAAACATGTACACAGCGTGATGCTTACTGGAATGGCCGCAGGAGTGTATAGACCCAACAGTAGATTTCGGAAGTACAAAATAAACTAAGGCAGATGCATTTAAGAAAAGTGAATTGAAACTGGTTTGCGTTTAAAGTGCGCCACATGATATTCAGGGCCGAACAAAGATATAGCCGAGCTATACAGATATTAGCCAAAAAGTCTCGTATTTGCTTGTACTGTTACGTCATTACGTAAATAGTCCATTTCTGGTACGGTTTGTACTGACGCTTTACCTAGCTTAGACAAGATAAATCAAAGTAAAATTGGTTTTTCTTTACTTCGCGTGACGTAATATACTAATCACTGGTGATTCTGATGGGGTTATTAATTTATTTATTTGAATATCCCACTGGTCCAATTCCATTAATAGGTCCCAGTGAAATACAACTTACATCAAATAAAACAAATATATACCAGTCATTAGGAAACGAATGTAGCTAATTGGTTGAAATTAACACAGAAAATTAACATCTACATGTGTGGAAGCAGACATAGGTACTAGTTTTGTAATAAAGATGCAATAATCACGAGAGCATGTCATATTTAATATTGTTGTCCGAAAGTGTATATTGATAAAAACTTAGGACTATGATCCACATAATCTGAGAACGCTGTTCTTGTAGTATACATCTGAGTATTTGTTTGATGCAACAATAACACTTGTGTACATAGAACGAATACTGTTGTTTTCTCTACATACGCATCTTTTTTAGTTAATGATAAATCATAGTCCTAATTTAGTCTGCGGTACTGACTATCCAACAACAATATATGTTTTCGGTCGTATTACATCTTTAATTGAGTTCGAACATCGGTTGATGTATTTTGCCAAAACAAAATTAACTCTGGTCTACACAGACACTGATATATGGACGAAATATAGACGTAAAACAGGTAAAAGAAACATCCATGCTGATAGCTACATTGTAATCATCCAAGACCTCTTATAAGACTACAGTGGCTCGCATGGCGTGTGCAAACTAATAACCGGTCTCGTGAGACCCCCCCCCCCCCGTTTGTCATTGTATCTGTGGCCGTTTCTTCGTGTGTTTTTTCGCAACTATAAGTCCCTAGTATTACAGTGAGCCACCCCGCGGGAAAGATCTACGAAAACATATTTTTCCTTAATTAGAATAAATCCACATAAATGCCAGAAATTATTTTGTCTGGGCATATAAACAATTCAAAAGGAAAAGCAACACCCAATTATCGGGAGTAGATGTATAGATGCGTTAAAAAAAAGATATTGGTAGAGCTGATGTCTACAGGCGCTGTCAATAATTGATTAAAGAGTTTCAGTGATGCTGTTCTTTTGTAGGTATTGGTTTTACATGTGTCCAAGCTCCACTCACGTCAACAAGACAGCAACATATCTAGAAAAGAAAACAACCCGATCTACGATGTCGAACAATTCAACAGTTGAGAACACTGACTCGATAGTTATAGTATCACTATGGAAACCCATCAACATGTTTCAGATTGCATTTGGATGCATTGGTATCGTAGGAAACATGTTTGTGTGCATCACGGTGGCACGAAAAAAAACTCTTCAAAACCTAACCAACTACTTCATAGCTAGTTTGGCAATCGCGGACTTGATATCATCCACTCTATGGGTGCTATCGGTAGTGTCTCGGCTCATCCCGTTATCTCGGGTCCCAACCATCCGCCACTTTCAGTGCGTGGTGGTCGAAGCTGGTTACCCATTCTGGGTGGCCGTCCTGGCGTCCACATATCACCTGGTAGCAATAACTCTGGAACGCCTATGTGGGATAGTGTATCCAGTGAAACATCGTCTATTCTTTAGTCGACGCCTAGCAGCAGTCTGCGTTGCTTTGTGCTATATACTCCCCTGCATAATCCTAGTCAACTTCCCGTTATTCCACAAAGTTATCAACGGGGTGTGCGTCTACTCTACCTCTCCCAGCTCTGCACTCTCACATGGCATCTTTTTGTTTATGTTTACTTATCTGTTGCCACTCGTAGTCATGACGTGGGCATACATTGCTATCTGGAAACGTCTCAAGAACAGCACATCTCAACATGTAAACCTATCTTTGGCAGGACAGTCGTCTCAGACATCTAGCAATTGTAACCAGGGTTACATAGGAGCAAGAAAGAAAGTCATCCAAATGTTAATTATTGTGTTTCTTTCCTTTGTCATTTGTTGGACCCCAGACCAGATCATGGTAATACTGGTCAATATTGGCGTTGCTAAATTTCATCTATCACAATTCCTACCTGTCCAGATATTGGCACTTTGTAATTCCTGTATCAATCCATTTATTTATGCCTTTAAAAATCGCCACTTTCGAGACGGTTTCCGTGAGATATTTTGTTTCGGTAAAACAGCTTCGAATGTTCGTGTAGGGCCTTCAAACCTTGCTGCAAATATTTCCGAAACACAAACAAGTAAAGTCTAGGTGTTATTAACTCTGGGATTGGAGATGTTGGTTTTGGTCAAGATTTGACATCCACAATTTACCATCGCCAAATGGTCAGCCAAACATGTACCTGAATTATGTAGAAAAGCCACAATCGTATTACTATTTGTTTGACACAAGCGATTTTATCAAACTATGATGTTGAAGACATTCTGTTTCTGATTATATGTTCCCCTGACACAAGAACACTTTCTTCAAAGCTACTCCAATAGCTTTTATCCAACAACAATAATTATATTGAACTTATAATACAACTTCTGTCCAAATACTTTTGAAGATGTAAATAGAACAAGGTAAAAAAGACAGGGTTCATAATTAGGTCCAAACATGCATTTTTCGCAGTGATGGACTCAATCATAAAAAAGACCCAATTTCTGTTATGTTATTTCATCTAGTCGCCATATCTCAACATGTAGCAGCACATTATTATGCTACTAATGTGAGTTTTAGTATTCTGTAACAGCTGCTTCAACCATAATTGAACTTCAGGTAACAGCACAGAAAATTGGGCTTCGCATAAATGCTTGTCTTCAGTCATGTACTTTTTGTAGTGCATTTAGAACTTGCTCCTGCTCATCGTTACCATGTCTCCAGGCTTTGACACGTGTCGACACATATTTGGAACTACAGTAATATAGCATAATCTTTTAGTGGGCAGCCATATATGCCTGAATAACTTCCTTGCTTTGTAAGCAGGAAAGTTCCTTGCAACAGGCAGACTGATGTGCACGAGTTCTGAAGCTAAGTATTGATCACATTAGTTTCAGTTTGTTCTAGCGTCTTCCCAGAGGCAAATGTTTGATGCGCGTTAAAGGACATTGACCTATGTACATTTCCAGCTTAGAATAGCCGAGTATTACTTCTCTCGGCAGCTGTTTTGAGTGCAGCTAGTTTCTGATTTGTTTAGTGCTATCAGTCATTTGTCACTTGTGAGAATATTATTGTATTTTTTTCATGTCAAGAATAAGTCGCTACGTACCTCACCTTCTCATCACGTGTACTAAAACTTATATGGAAAGAATGTAGCCTGCGGTTGAGGGGGTAGTGATGTTTTTAACACATATATATAATATGATCCACTCGAGTTATTGGAACACTCACAGTATGAGCAAGTGGTTTTTGCTCATGGAAATTTCTTTTGACTACTGTAAAATGACTAATTTTCACTGGGTTTAAATTTTGCTGATTTATCATTTCAGGCATATTCAGTGGGTTTTAAATTCACGGTTTTATCATTTAGATAATATGTTCTATGCTAAATTTTACATATTCACTGGGTTTGTTAGTCCCCGTTCGGACGTAGTGCTGAAAACGGGGACTTAGTTTTGCCCTGTGTGCGTCCGTGATCACCTGTATCTCGAACATGCATGGACGATTAAGTTCAAACTTCACTCATACATCACACATTATATCACCGA